CTAGCCAATAAGCAAATATTGGTATACTATGCTAAATAGTCTGCAAAGTGTATTTTTGCTTATTCTGAATGTTTCATATCAAGCTAATAGATTGTGCATACCATCTTTTTTCACTAACCTAGTTGTATTCTTACGCAGCCATGGTTAAATGTAATTGCAGCAATGCCCAACAAACAGAATGGACAAAATTTGCAATAAACAATAACAAAAGAAAGAAAAGAACAGCAACAATAATATTAAACAATATATGCATGGCAAAGCATCAGTATTAAGGCAAAAAAGTTAACAAACTAAGAATGGTGTTAACACACAAAAGGAATACAGACAAGTGATTGTAGAGTTCTGATTTCAAGCAAGAAAGAAGAGAACTATCTTATTGACTAGGAAGAAATTCCATCATTCCTCTGTATGTTTTGTCTATAAATTTGGGGGAGGGAGATGTTTTTGTCATTCCTATGCTGATTGAAACCAACAGTATTTATTTGTTTTTTTTTTTTCTTGATTCTAATTGTCATCCTTAGTTAATCACAAATGATTTTCTAGTAGGTTAGCAGTTTTAGAGCAAAATGTAACTATGTATTTAAAAAGATAATTCTCATATTTTAAACATTTCACAACATTAATCTGGTCCACTTTTCAATACACAATCCAGACTGCAGAGCCAAATAGGTTGCCAGATACAGGCTAAGGGATTACATTATTAATTTTTTTCCAAAACTTATAACGATTTTAATATAATCATCAAACCAAATGAAAAAAAAAAAATCTCTTTCCTTAAGTTATAACGATTTTCATATAAACATCAAACTAAAAAAAAAAAAAAAAAAAAAAACTAAAAAGGATGATCTGGGTTTTAGAATTGTATTTGACTTCCGTCTACTTCAGATTTTTATTGTAGTAATATGTCTTGTATTACTGCCAAGCATTAACAGCCAGCTACTGACACTAGGCTGCATCCATTACTGAAAATGATTTGTGATGACTTCAGTATGAAATAATCAATGTAGAAGAAGGGATAATGGTGTGGCCCAAGCAAATTGTCTTCCACTTGAACTCATGACCTGCTTTTTGTTCCTTTTAAAAGCTATAAGAAGTAACTGAAATAAGGGGGTATTTTATTACAAAAGGTGAATTTATTTTTTTAACTTCTGTTACTTGAATACATCCAAATAGAAATTAAGTTTTTGTACTCTTTTTTTCCCAACTTTCTTCTCTTTTATAACATCCTCTCTCACTCTCTCACTCTTGTCCTTTTTTCTCTCTCTCTCTCTCTCTTGTCCTTTTTTCTCTCTCTCTTGTCCTTTTTTCTCTCTCTCTCTCTCTCTCGTCCTCTCTCTCTCTCTCTCCTGCCTTGCATCCTATCACTTTCTCTTCTCCAGTCCTTTTTGTATTTCCCTATCTAAAGTATTACATCAAATTACACCATGTCAGATTTTATACCCTCTTGACTGACAAGTCATTTTACTGTTATTTCAAAGTAAATATATTTTTTAAAAAAAATTAAATTTTTATTCTTTTCATGTATTTTGACATGTCACTGACAAGATTACCTTGAGATAACTGATAAAACGAACAAAGAGTAATTGAATTCATGCCTTCCTTTACACTATACACTCTGATCATGATTTGAAGTTGTAAAATTAAAACCAGTTCTGTCTACAACCAATTAGATTTTTTTGACATGAATAAAGTTTCTATTATTTGTTGTAATAACTGATAGCATTAATATCATTTGGAAAGGCATGAATCCACTTTTTCCTGCTCAATTGTCTTGTCCTCACATATCTTGACAAAACATATTTTATTGCTTGTATGATGCTATGGCTGATGGAGGTGGAGAGCACTTTGTTCAACCAACCTCCATTATTTACCTTTCTACTCAGTAATAATTTTTTTTTAAAAAAGAAAGATGATACACCTATTGTCAACCTAACACCTGCTACTCTTATCTGAGTTTTTGTCTGCATACTTTTAGATACATTTTGTTTCAGCCCCAAAAGTTTATACCTACTTAAATCTTTGATGCAAATGAACACTAAAATTGTTATTGTCTTTAATAAAATTAAATTAGTGAAAAATAAATTGTGTTTGTCCTTGATGTTTTTATTTTTTTTTTGGCTACATCACTATGGCCTTTTTGATAATTCTGTAAGCTATTCATTTCACTAATTGGATAATGATAATTGAAATTCTCAGGAGAGTAGGTTGAATGGTTGAGAAAAACATGAAAAAAGAAACTGGTCAATAATAAGGTGAATTTAAGGACAGTTCCAAGGAGAATTGAACCCAGAATTAACTAGCCAAGACTCAGTAAAATTGAGCAAAACCAAGGTCCCCTAACCTATCCACTTCCTACCAATAAGAAAACATGTTTAATGTGTTGTTCAAATTTTTTGGACCTGAGAAATTCAAAGGTTTGTTTGCATTATACTATCTGTTCAAAATGTGTAATCTTACAAATCATTGTAGACTAAAAGGAATTGGGATTTTTTTTTTAATTCTCAAGCTTGGTAGTCTCTATGGGAATTGGTTTGGAGAGGCTGGGGAATTGCTCCTAAGACAGTACTTGCTAAGAGTACGTCCACAATTCTCATGACCAGGGTGAAGACAAAGACTTGTGCATGATAGAAGAATTGAGAGAAAGCCAACTGGCTGGTTATTACTTTGTTACTAGACTTCTCAAATCAACAACTGATGGTAGAGAACTTTATTTTGCAGTAGATGATAGACATTTTATTCAACCAGTTTTTCTCTATATTCAAGAAACCTGTTGCTAGTTATCAACTGTGTTGTGTATTTTATTGAAGAAGTTCTTGTCCCAACCTGATTTTGATGTGCCCTTAGACACAAAAGGACAAGTTACAATGGCCGTGATTTGAGAATTATTTATTCTTAACTATGTTATACAACATACATAGAGGAGTTCACACTACACTTCACTGTAATATTGTAAAAGATTTTTAAATCCAAATCAACCCTTTTGAGACAACACTCTGGGCCCCAACTGGGATAGAAAAGAAAATCGCATGTCTCGTAATGTCATTATTATTACTCAACAAAGCTAGTATCTAAGGAAGGAGAGACAGATCCACAGATGTGTAGAGAGGGTGTGGGGTCACATTTGGATACATGATTATCTAAAATATCCAAGTGATTAATCTTTTTGTAAACCTCTTTTGATTAAGATTTGTATTAACTGTCATTAATGGATTTAAAAATGTCAATCTTTTAATTGTTTTCTATAGAACTCTATGAGTAGTAATAAAAAACATGAATATATAAAACCTATGAGAGGTGAGGATTTTTAGTAACATTTTCAGACTTAGGAAGAAACTTAGCAAGATATGACAGCAACCAAACTACCAACTTTAAGAGAAACAAGTTAGATGAAGAACTGATTTTTCTATAATTTTTAGTGATGAATTAAGAGAGTTACATTGGATGTAGCTAAATTAAAGGTTTGGTCTTTTATGGAAATAGTCAACCAACATGAGTTGGAAGACATACATACATACACACATATATATATATATATATATATATATATATAAAAGTGATATAGAAGTCAACAGTCTGTTTCAGTCTGTTTCATATGCAATCGTCAGGCCTGACGATTGCATGTGGCATGAAACAGACTGTCGCCTAAGTGTTGACTTCTATGTTCACTTTTATATTTACACACACTATCTCTGATATTGAGCACTTTATCCCATAAATATATAGCAAACCTTAAGACTATATTTCTTCATATATATATATATATATATATATATATATATATATATATATATATATTTTTTTTTTTTTTATTTAGTACATACAGTTACACATGTACATACATAGTTATACATACATACATACACATAATTAAATTTATGGTGATTTTCTAAGTGTAGCGTAGATGTGACACCAGGCCGAAAGTATGACGCACCAAGTGAGGATTGAACTTGCTATTTATTCATAATTGATCTAGTGAGACAAATTTACTAACCATTACACCATGACGAAGCAACTTACAAATATTTTCATGTATGCATATTGTTTATGCACCATATATATTAACTCACACACACTCATTAAAAAAAAAAAAAAAAAATTCACTGTTTATAACCACCAGACCTGTGGGGCACATGCCCCACTTTTGGAACAATAACTGTATAGAGTGCTTGACATTTTGCACATTCTTAGCACTCTGGAATTAAAGAAAAATGTATAAAAATGTGTGATTTTTCTATGGCCAATGTGTAGTCAGGGTAAGGTCACTTGTTCTTCCCAGGTCTTTGTGAATCCTTGTTTCCACTTTCCTAGGGTGGGGCCTAACTTCAAAGATCTACTTGTCTGTGTTTTTACTACAATGCGGTTACTTTATTTTTCTAGAAGAGCTTGCCAATTCTTGTCTTTAGTTTGGTAGATTGTTGTATAAATCTATCACTGGAGATCCTCTTACTAATATTACTATAGTATTTACCCTCTTGTACTTGGCTCAGTACTTACAAAGAATGTGAAAATTCTGTATAGTGGCCAAATGTATCCTTTGTACTTTCTAGTTGTAAAAGTACGAAATGATTGACTTTTTGAATTATATTCATATGTACTATGGAAATTTTTGCATCTACTGCTTTTCTGTATATGTTTTTAATATTGACTGTCACTACATTATATTTAATAATAAATTTAATATTAATTAATAAATCCCACCTGTGATATCATGGATTGCATGACAGTTTTGTACATATACAAATTCTTTCTTTTTATGTTCTCTCAGATTATCAGTATCATGTCATCTCTACTTGAAATTCCACATTTGTGCATGGCATCAAAGACATTAGGTAAAGATCCATGATTTTGTGAGACTAACCGATGTCGTACACAAATTGGAGGAATTCTTGCTGGAGGTTACATCATGATAACACAGATTATCATCAGCAATTAGTGTGTGTGTATACCCCCACACACACACACACGCACATATGAATTCTTTTATTTTTCTGTTCTTTCAGGTAGCCAGCGTTATGTCGTCTCCGCCTGGAATTCCTCAGACTCAGGCTGTGAATAATGCAATTATTGGCGGCTCTACGGCAGCCCAACACCATTTCCTCATCCCAAGTCCCATCCCAACACGACGCAGTCGTACATTCTCTGCGTAAGTAGAATTTTGATTCCTGATTTTTAGTTTGTCACTAGACACTCATAACTTTTTATTATTATTTTTTTTTTTTTTTTTTTTTTTATAATCATTTCACCCTAAGCAGTGGGGTGGGGGTTACAGGAAGTGAAAGTGAGAGAAAATACTGCTCTCGACTTCTGCTAAATAAAATGTTTGCTTTTAGTCACAAAATAAATTTCACAGCATTTTCCTTATATTTTGATCAGGCAAAAGAACATGGATAATCAACAGAATGTCATAATTGTTTTTTTACTTAATTGCCCTGGGCTGAATAAATCATTTATTCTCTGATTTAATGAAATTGCTTATTTTTATTTCTTGTTTTGCTTTCTACTTTTCTATTTTACATTTAATGCAATAATATTAAAATGTAATATCTCTCTCTCCCTCTCTCAGAAACTAATCCAATATGGTTGACTTCTTTATAGCCACCTGGTGGCTTTATATTGGGACTATTCTGTGTCCCTGTACAGCCACCTGGTGGTTATCACAGTCCCATAATCGTTGTTACAGTTAGTGTATGAAATGTGTATGCAAATATAACATCATTTATTTTCCTCTTAATTTAAATTTCTCATAACAGATGAGGTGACCCCCCCCTTTTTTTTTAATGAAATATTTGTCAAAAAACACGCACACGCACACATATTTTGGTTTTGTGATCCATATGTGTATGAACTGTACTAAATTTTGACAAATGACAAAACCTATAAGAGAGTATAGTGGATGTGTGACCAATGTAAGAATTTAATGTTGTGTCTCCAAAACTAACAATCTCCCAAAGAACATCAGAATTTATAAACAACATTATTTTTATATAAGGTGGATTTATTTTTAAGAATTAGATTAGATGTTTTTTTTTTTTTTTTTTTTTTTTCTTTTTAATAATAAATGATAAATCTAAGGTATTTGTTAGGACCATTACTGGCAGATTACATATTTTTTCTTTTTTATAATAAGGATGCATCTGATTACAATGAAAAACTTTAATGGAGTCTCTCTCTCTCTCTCTCTCTCTCTATATATATATATATATATATATATATATATATATATATATATATATATATATATACACACACACACACACACATTGAGGGTGCTAAAAAATTATTATATATAAAGATGTTTTAAGTTACTTTCAAAGGGGCTATAGACTGGGGTAATGTTTAGTATGATTGAGCTTTACGATGGAGTTGTGAGTTTGATCCTCATTGGGTACCACATACAACATTAACCCAAGAAGAGTTGACATATTCTAAAATCAACCAACCTGTTTTTTGTATTTTTCTTTTTAGTTCTGAGCGAGCTAAGAGTGGACCAACTCACAGAGGAAAGGTGAAGGCTTTCTGCCGAGAGAAAGGTCATGGTTTTATTCAGCCGGAGGATGAGAGTCAGCCTTTATTTGTTCACATTTCTGAGTAAGACTTTTTCTTCATTTCCACAATAAAATAATTCTTTAAAGGCTATTTTAGGTGCAATAGTTTTAAAGTTCCATTTAAATTGAACAATTGTCACAGTAACAGGAAAAGTAATGACATTTTGATCTTCCTTAATGTATTATTTCAGATTGCACTACAGGAGACTAGGAAAGATAATTTTTGTTATTCTCTGTGCAGAATGTTCTTTTAGGTATTTAATCACTAAAGAAATAATAGAAAAGTAATATTGAGAAAGGAATTAGAGTAATTGATGGATTAAAGAATCGATATATTAATACTGTCTGGCACAATCTGAAAGAAAAAGGATTAAATAAATTTTTACTTCCTTTGAAAAATCCAAGCAGTAATAAAACACAAGATAATCCAACCTACCAATGTTTTTTTTTTTTTTTTTTTTTTTCATCCATTCCTTCTTCAAAATCTGAATCCAGTTTTGCACACATACTCTTGGGAAAGGTATAAATCAATCTCTTCCTCCCCTCGGATATGGGTTAAATAGCAAGGCTGACTGTGCTCTCTAGCTGTGGTTGGCAACCAGTCTAAGAGAAGGAAAACTCTGAATTCAAAACAGTGCATAGCCCTGGTTTGGCATACAGTATGTTGCCTGTTGAATAAGCAGGCATTTTTAATGAGAATTGACAAATTTCCCAAGAATAACAGTAATAAAAATAATAACAGGCGAAAATAATACAAGAAATGAAAAATGTAATGCAAAGCAACTAATGTTATTCACTGACATTGATAGAACAATTTTTTTTTTAGCAAAACATTGTATTGGCCATGGCTGTCAGCTCCAGACATCGCATCCCCCATATATGTCAGGCCTCCTAAAATTCAGATTTTGCTCCCTGCAACTTTTCCAAAAGATAAAATTGACATTGTAAATTTCCAGACTCTGGTTGAGATTAAGGAGAATGAGTGTGAAGTTTCAAGTACTTTGAAGAAAACTAAAGTGTCATTGTTACAAGATGATTTTTTTTTTTTCTAGATCCTTTCTGGACATGCATACATGTTCAGTCATCAACCATAACCTTGATTCATGAGAAACTCAACTTCTGTTTTTTATTTTTATACTTTCAGTATTGAGGGCGAATATGTCCCCAAAGAAGACGATGAAGTAACATTTAAGGAGATCCTGATCCCTCCACGTCATGAGAAACGCCAAGCAGTACATGTCCAAATTACTCACCTTGCCCCAGGTGTGACCCATGAGCGATGGGATTCCCCAGCAACTACTTGCAGTCCCAGCTCTTCTCCCAGCCATGGCTCCATCAAAGACCTCCACCTACCTCACTAAGCCACCCATCTTGCCCAGTTATGGAGGCCCGGACACCTGCCATACCTACTACTTCTACCTACCTTTATTTTTGCCCTGTCTACTGGGCAGACGACTAACTGCTGTATGAATTTCTGGACTCTTCCCTGCCCCACGTTTTTTTTTTTTTTTCTTTCTTTTTTAATCATTTTGATTAAATGTACTTGGGACACTCAACTGTTGTAATTGTTGTATTTGTGTGGTTCATATATTTACTTAGTATTTTATTGCAGGCCATCAAGCCAATAATTATTACCATATTTGATGGCACTTCTTTTTTTTTTTTTTTTTTTTTTTTTTTTTTTTGTCGTAAAAATGTCTTTAAAAAATTTCCCCTGCATCTTGTATGTAAAACTGAGACTCCTTCCAAGGTTAATTTGATCCCCAACACTGACTGTGGTAAACTGTAATTTTACCTCAGTAACTACTACCCGGGTCCTTATTAATATCCCCTCTCCCCTCCTTGATTTCTGTTGTGTACTCATTTCCTTCTGGGTCCCAACCTGAGACCTAAGGTCAGGAACATGAGAATATGACAAAAGAAAACACTAAGGAGAGAACAATAAAAGAAGAGGAATTAAGAAAACAGCTGATATCAAATTGGCATTGCATTTAAATTTTTAAACATTAATGTTGACTAGAAAGCAAGAAGCTGGAAGAGAGTTCCACACGCACATGATACGTGCAAGAGAGGAAACTGTTAGCATAGAACTTATGGTTATATCCAGGGTTGTTGTTGTTGTTTTTTGGGGTTTTTTTTTAATGTAAAATGATGAGACCTAGCTGCCAATCTAGTACTGCACTTTAATTTTTCAAATTTAGGTACAAAAGAGGAAAGTTCATCAGAACAATTACCATGAAAGTATTTCTAGAAAAGACAGGGAAACTATGTTACAGGGGTGGGGGGCGACTGAAGCCAAGATGCCAGATCAGGACTAATAACATTTTTATTATCACCATTATTTTGGTGTTGCACTTTTTTTTTGAAGTCTTTTTAGATGTCTTTTTATAATGGCTCCAGGAGTGATGCAGTGTATAGGACCAAGAAAATCCATCTATGGTTAACCAATAGAATGGATAATGCTGTTACTGACAGGGGGTGCCACTTCCATCTAGGTATCAGCCACAACTTCATAATGTAAAAGCCATTCACTCTTCAGTACAATTAATACTTTTAAGTTTAATTCTCCTTAAGCAGTCTTTGATTGCAGGCATATCTATGACTGCAGGAATTGTTTCTGCATTCATGTTCCATGGCTTTTTCAGCTCTCTAGCCAGATCCTGGTGGTTTTCTATCTCTTCCTATTTCTTTGGGGTTCACTTTTATATCATATCTTTCTTACCAATCCAAGAATAATAATAATAATATTATTTTTTTTTTTTTTTTTTTGTTCACATGGTTTTCATTTTCAACCAGGGATTATAGATGTTCTCCATCAAGTTATACAATCTCAGACAGCACTTTTTTGCAGAATATTTGCATTGCCAAACAACTTGGACTTCTAGGACAATGGAATACTAGACTTTATTCTGATTTTATTGATATAGGACTTTTTGATGACATAAACCCCCCAATATCTCAATGATGACTTGGACAATAGTGGCTTGAAACTCTCAAATTCTGGTAACTTCAATCCAGAGCTCAATGTATTTCTTGAGCTTGTCAATTCCTTTGATCTTGATATTTTGCTCACCAAGAACAGCCGCATCAATAGAGAAACATTTTCTTCTTTAGAATTATTATTATTACTGTAAAAGGAATTATAACAGACTACTGACAACATTCGTCAGCACCAATTCCTCCATCTTATCTGAATATGCCTCAACATACTCCTACTATTCCTAGTGTGGTGAGGCTGTGGCTCTATGCTCCACGGAGGAGTCTTTGGGGTTAATAACAGCAGTCATTAACAGAAGATATGTGACTGAAAGGAAATGCCGATAATGGTAAAACTGTTTTTATTTATACACAGCATTAATGGCAGCTTGCTTTTTATAAAATGCTTTTTGTTTTGTTATGTCTTACAATGTTTTATTGTAATCATGGAGGATATTTTCACTATTGTGGTTTCTGGCTTTAAGTTCAGCTCAACTGCTGGCTTGCTTTTTATATACGGTAAGGTTTTCAGTTGTAGCTAAGGGGCATTTTTAATATTTTGTAATGTACTTTTTACCTTGGTATAAACATGCTTAAAATACCTCTTTTTTTTTTTTCGGAATGTAGCAAAAATAAAACCACCACAAATTCACATACCACAAATCTGCTCATTCTGCAATTGACTTTTTCACTTATACCACCACTTGTTTACTGCCAATGACTTTGTATGTTCAAAGGCAAGTAGATTAATTTGTATGCAGCATGTACGGGCTATTCCACCAACTTTTTTTTCTTAAAACATGCTCTGTTGATATATGTCTGTATCTAATATATTGGGAGGACTCTACTTCATATATGACACAGAACAATTTTTTCTTTTAAGTTCATCGTGTGTGTGTGTGTGTATGTATATATATATATATTGTCATCCACAGACAGTTTCGCTGTAGAAGTTCTGTTATGTCTAGCTAAGATCGAAACCCAACTGAATTGGCATCAGTCGGGGGATTCTACCACTAAGCCGTTGGCACATGGCAGGGATGAAGGTGAATTTAAGCATATTTATTTTTAGATAAATACACAGTGACTGAGAAAACTCTATTCAATTTACTGAAGAGTCTTCCAATATATATATATTATTGAAGGCACAGTGGATTAATGGATAGCAGTTTGGATTGAGTTTGTTACAGTCAGTTATGTGAAATTAGGAAAGGTATGTATCCATCTGTTCTCTCCCTATAGGTATGAGTAAATAGCAGAACAGACCAAGACCTATAGCTTCATCAACTTGCAATTGACCAAGTGTGATTATTATGGTTGCACATTGGAAGACAGGAAGCAAAATAAAAATAAGCAATTTCATTATATTGAAGAATAATTTATTCAGTTCAGGATAATAAAGTAAAAAGAGAATTATGGCACAGAATTCTATGTATTATGATATATTTTCATTTATTTATTTTTGAGTGCAGAAAATGGCAATGAATCCCCAGTTAAAAGATGTAAGATTTTGATAAAAGCAAATGCTAACAGTAGATGAAGTTTCAAGATGTGACCTGTGTTTGACAAAGAAATTGCTAATATTGCAGAAAATGGCTAACCACCTGTTAAATAAAACAAGCAAGCTGATGGCAACATGGAAGTACAGGAAGAAATACATGATAAACAGTAAACATCTGGGGTATCTGCGCGAAATATAAAATGGAATAGTCCATATGGTTCCTTGAAACTCAGATTTTAGGAATTGGTATAGTGCTGATAGCAGACACGGAAAGGAAATCACAAAGCCTTCTACAGAATGAAGCAAAAAGAACTATAAGAAGACAGAAATACATGGTCATCAGTAAAAAAAATGAGCCCGAAATGCGGTTTACAGGTCAAGGACACTAAAACAGGTAGAGAGGATTTCGTTGGTAACAAAGAAAAGAGTGATATCTGTCCTCCTTTACGGCAGTAAATGTTTGATGGTCTCCCCAAAGATGAAGAAGAGACTCGAGACAACAGAAGTATGGTTCTACAGGAAGATGCTAAGGATACCATGGACCGAACATGTGAGCAACGATGAGGTTTTTAGAGAGGATGCAAACGGAGGAAGCTTATACTTAACATCAGGAAGAGACAGCTGAAATTTCTGGGTCATGTAAAGAGAAAGGAGGGCTTGGAGAATCTGATACTTACAGGGCAGGTAGAGTGAAAGAGAGACAAGGAAAAGCAACGTGTGGCATACCTAGAGGACTTAAGCAAGTGGGTGACGAAACATGGTTTGGAGAAGTAGCAAAGGGACAAAACACTGAGAGCTACAAGGGTAGGGTAAAGTGGAGAGCCATTATCGCCTACATCCCGAAGGGACATGGCACATAAGTGTGTGTGTGTGTATATATATATATATATATATATATATATAAAGAAGGTGAGCTTTGCCTGTAGTTTTAATTTGTTTTTTATTGTTAATTTTTGGTCAGTCCTTGTATTGCTCAAAACCTTTTTCAAGTTTTTTAAGGTAAGGTTGGGGGACTCGTGAGTCTCAGATTTACCTCCTTAGTCATTCTGGCAGCTTTATTGGTTGCTGGGAAGGGGATGTGTATGTTATCTTTTATAGTTTTTGGCGTGTGTGTGGGGAAAATAGGCCCGGGAGAATAATGGATAGTGTCTCAGATTGAGAAATCGGAGAATCGAGTTCGAATTCCAGTCGAATCAATTTCATTCACTTACGTGGGAAAGATATGAATCCTCCTCTTCTCACTCCAGCAATGGGTAAATAGCAGGACTGATTTCATATGGCCTTGTGTGGCAACCAGTCTAGGAGAAGGAAAGTGAATTCAAAACCGGCCAGAAGAGGGTTGTGTTCCGTCAAGCTATCTTGACCAAGAAACACCACTTCTACTACGGCTGCCCCTACGACTCTGATGGGTCACAGGAGAATGTAAAAAGTGTGTATGCGGGAGACCTCATCACCTCTGCAAGGGTGGTGTACTGTTCTATGTAGTCACAGTTGAGTATATTCAACTATGGAGAGATACTTTGTGAGAGAGAAATAGGGAGTGGGTATCTACGAGGTTATATATTAGTTCTATCTGTGGTGTTTAATTTGCTGTTAAATCTGTCTGGACATCAGCACCACAACCAAAAACACCACCACCATCAACGACAGCAAGAACTTCAAAACGAACACACACACACAAAACAAACCACAAACTTATGCAAACATCCTTAAGGTGATATACAGAAATACACAAACCGAAACACAGCGGCCCTCAGACAGAACACATAACCTCACTTAACATCCCAGATTAGCCTCTGGTAGACAATTTACAGAGAACACGCTCAACCTTCCAAAAGGCAGGTTAAGCTCCCATCCAAGATACTAATAGAAAACATGATGCAAGCTTTCGAGCTTTTAGAAAAGAACTTCGTCATGCTTGCAAATACAATCATGACCCGTACGGCCGAGTAATAAATCTAAGTCGTGGTTAATTCTTACTTTACACATTCAAATTACTGAACAAAGAACTAAGCTTTTGCTTTAGTCCTCCACGATTTAATAAGGACATCTTGGCAAGGGAGCTAAAATCTTTCTTTAGAAGAATACGGCTAAAAACCCTCCGTGGGGACAATAACCATTTTCCACACTCGAAACGTTAAAAGAGGAGAACTCTACGTTCATCCCGCAAAACACGGACACTACTATACAGACACTTGAAATAGCAGTAACAAATGACATAAAGACAACAACAATCTATGAGTTGTTACATAACAATATCACCAAAAGGGAACGAGTGTTCCTAGACACGCTTGCACATAGAGATGATCTAATCATTTCACAGGCTGACAAACGTGGTACCACAGTGATATGGAACATCGAAGAATACCTTAAAGGGGCCAACAACCAACTAACCGACAAAAGCACCTATCACAGACCCATTCCCCGAATACCAAAATAATTTAACAAATTCGCTAAACATGATGCTTTAAAATAAAGTAATTGATAAGGAAACATGTACAACACTTACATCCACAAACATCACACTTGACTGCTTCTATCTTCTTCCCAAAATACACAAAAATAACAACCCAGGTAGGCCGGTAATTCCATCATTTAACTCCCACACAACTAAAATATTCAAATACGTAGATCTCTATATACAACCCCAAGCTAAGGAAGTAAAATCCTACATCAGAGACACAACAGACCTACTAAACAGAATTAAGTATATACAAACAATGCCAGAAAATGCAACTCTAGTAACCATGGACATCAGAACTCTATTCCAACATCAAACACAATAAAGTACTAACCGCCTTTAAAGAAGCACTTAACAAGACCCCACCCTCCGGAAGTAATCATAAAACTTAGGGAACACCTCCTCATATTGAATAGTTTTGATTTCAATGGAAGATACAACCTACAAATAAAAGAATGTTCCATGGGCACCGTTGCAGCTCCATCATATGCCACAATCTTTATGGGCAAATTTGAGGAGACCCATATTTATCCTTTCATCGGTAAAGACTGCATATTCTATGCAAGATATATCTATGATATCTTCTTCATATATACGGGAAATGAGGAAAAACTTAATGAATTCCTTATGGCCCTTCCCACCCAAAACACTACCTAAGGAGAACCTTCTCTACTCACAAGCACTTAGATTCTGAAAGATATGTTCCAACAATGAAGAACTAAGTAAACACATTAAAAATCTTTAGCAACAATTCACATGTGGCTATAAACAACACTTAATCAGGGAACAAATAAATAAAGCAATTTCCACACCTAGAGAAGACGCCCTAAAATATAAAATTAAAAATAAATCCAAACGCATCTCTCTAGTAACCACTTTCGATACTATTCTACCTCCATTATTTCAGATAATCAAAAGTCACTGGGAAATACGACATCTCAAATCATACCTAAAAACTTTGTTTGAGGAACCCGGCCTTTTAGCATATCATAGACCAATGAACCTTAAGGAAATCATAGGTGGTAACCAAATTTCAGACAATAAAGTAACATGAAATAGACCAAGAATAACCACAATAGGATTTTCATCAGAGACAGTCATTCACCCATGTTGTTCAGTTCTACTAACAAGCGGGAATTTTTCTCCTGATGATGGGAATGCTGGACGAAACCAGCGAAGGAAACTAATTTTAAAAAATAAAAAAAATATATTAATATACGACCCAGTCTGTTTGAAATTTTAATTTTTAACATTTTTTATTGTTCAAGACTATATATATATATATATATATATATAGGTAATAATCCGTTAGTATATAATCCAAGTGAATCTTATTAATACAATATAAAATATTAAATATTAAAACTGATTCACACATAGAACTCAATGTTTTAATTAAACAGAATATTTTATTTTATACAATAGGAATTAAGATTACATTATGTTAATGATCATTTTCACCTTGTAAATTGAAATACAGTTTTATTTCAATAATTTACCATCCATTGACTGGTTTGAAAAACCCTTATAAATTTTATTTCAATTTACAAGGTGAAAATGATCATTAACCTAATGTAGTCTTAATTCCTATTATATAAAATATATGTGTGTGTGTGTGTGTGTGTGTGTGAGTTAAAGATCAAATACAGATTTGAATCCGAGAGGATGATAAGATAAGGAACAAATAGGAAACGTTTATCAATCTAACATGTTCCACCTTTATTAAAACTTTGTCAGAGATTGCGGAAAAAAAGGAGACAGAAATTCTGGTATTTTCAATTTTTTGTTGTTTGATTTTCATTGGTCAAATATATATCACGTGCGTTATAACTGTTATATATATATTGGAAGCAATTGAATCAGAGAAGAATGTGCACATGAAACAGTGTGCTTGACAAAAGATATAGTATATGAGGCCGATATTGTGTGTGGAGAGGAAGTCAAATGTAAAGGAGTGGCTGAAGGTGAGTAAATGCAAAATACGTTTTTTGCAATCACAAAATGAGCTCAAACAAAATATAAAAGAATTTCACAGCCCTATTTGTTTTGTTTTTGTTTTTTTTTTTGTTTTGTTTTGTGCAGTAGAAGATGGCAATGAAGCCCCAGTAAAAAAAAAAGTGCAACATGCGACTTGTGCTTGACGGAGAAATTGTCAATACTGAGGACGTGTATCTTCTTAGAATTTCTTGGATCCTGTCCTTCCAAAACAATTTTACCTAAACAATCAATATATGTCTGATATATTGATGACGCCCTATTAATATATCCCTGCAAAACTACTTTAGCTAAGATTATAGATAACCAAAGTCGAACATATGATCGAATTTACTTACGAATCAAAAACAACAATTTGCATTTTCTAGATATGCAGTGGCTTAAAACTACGTATCCATCGCAAATCAACTAATAGAAATGATCTCATAAATTTCTATTCTCACCGTAACAACATACTAAAATCCGTAATAATCATCGGATTCTATTTAAGGGCACTCGGAATTTGTAGCTCTCGATATTTATACGAAGGGGAGAAATACACTGAAAATACTTTTAAGTTACTCCAATAATTAATTATTTCATATTCAATACGAAACAAAAGGCTTGTAAAATATTTCAAAATAGAAAAATGGGACATTCTGACAAACCCAATGAATCAAAATATATTATTTTTCGTTTTAATTCTCCCATAACTACAACTGAAACGAATTTATCTAAGCTTAACATAAAAATTGCTACAACTACTTCTAAAACAATAAAAAATTAATATAAGACAAAATAATAATAAGCTAAAATTTAATCTATCACCTGTAATAATTGCCAAAAGGAATACATAAGCGAAACGTCGAGTAATTAAAATAAAATATGTGAACACAAAAGGAATCGTTTACAAAACAACCTACTCAATGCATTAGTTGCTCACCATAATGAGTCTGACCATAATTTTGATTTAAAAAAATGATATATAATTAAAAGAGAAAGCAATTTACTTAGACGAAAGTGTATAGAAATTGCTTTAATCGCCAAATCATCCACAGTAAATTTATATCTAGGTGCTTACAACATTTCATATTGCTTGGTAGTTCTATTATCACAATGTAGGATACTTAATAACAAAAGAACTTAAACAAAAAAAAGAAACTAAATAAAATCGGCTAGACTATATACCCAAACACATTTAAATTTAAAATTTCAGTATCCTTTCATGCGCATGTCTAATCACATCACTTTGGTTCTATTGCATAACATCTCAAATGCCTTCACAATACAGGAAAATACTTGTTGACAACACCTATATTACAGCACGAAAATAATAAATAAAAACTGTAAAATCTCGAGGCCCTCTATGTCAAAATCAACCAACCAACACTCAACAAAATTTATTGCGGACATAGCAGCAACATATTAAAGTACGTATATCAAACATTGAATGTCATTTTACACTTCTGCTAATTTCTGGTCAGCTTCCTTATATTGAAACGCTTATTTTACGAAAAATTCCATAACTACAACGGATAAATTTTAAATTCTAAAATAACTATACAGAGAGCGTCCGTGCGTGTTTTTAAAAATCACTATCACAACGGAATGCAGATTTTCTCGGAGTTACAATAAGTTTGTCGTAGTAATTTACCGCTTACCGCTTAAAATCGAAAGTACTTGGGTTAGAAAAAACTACGGCACCTTCCTTGATGAATTTTATCTTAACATCAAGAAACTGATTATACAAATGGAAAAGGGTCAACATAAAAATAAATAGACACTTTATATATATATATATATATATATATATATATATATATAATTACAAAATAAAGAAATAAAAATTACCTCATGAGAATAGCTATTTCAACTAGCGTTAATACGAAGACGCAGCTTCTTTTTTTAAATATTTAATTTTTAAGTTTCTAACTTTGTATCTGCACACCATTTGAGTTGAAAAATACTAGCGTATTAACGCTAGTTGAAATAGCTATTCTCATGAGGTAATTTTGGATTTCTCTATTTTGTAATTTATATGCTCTGTTATAATAAATACATTGAGCTCTTTTTGTGGATCAGTTTTTATATTTTATATTATTAGGATCCACTTGGATTATATACCAACAGATTATACCTGTACTGTGTATATATATATATATATATATATATATATATATATATATATTAGCCTGATAGCTTGATTTTACTGAAAGGGTATCATTACTTATTATCTGATGTATGAAAAATCACAAAGAGGTGGAGTCATGTCTTTAAGTTAATCATACAGATATATCATTGTCATGTTCGTCTTCCGTTGTCATAGGTGACTATGGTTTTATCAGAAGTTATGAGTTACACTTGACTTCAGTTTAGTTAGATATTTTAGTGCGGATTTGTCAACTTCACTCCATCGTGCCCGGTTATCTGGATCCAGAATTAATACATCGTCAAACGTCTTGAAATCGACCGATGTTCTGTGACACGTCATAATTTTTCATGTTACTTTAACTGGGCTAAACTCATTTGTTTGGAATTAGAATTAAATGGCGGCCAAGTGTTATGGAGTGGTTTCACAATGGAGGATTGTATTTGTACTAAGTCGGTCCTAAAATAGGTTCGACGTACAAAACGTTAGGAACTTCGTATAATAGGTATGACGCAGAGTAATCTAGTTGTGGTCGCTGATACTTTAGTACCTGACTAACGGTCGTCCGGCATCGACTAACTGAGCGACTCCTCGTTACTATTGCTACTCCTACTTATTATAGGTGGGAGAGTCTATTAACTATAGAATAGGTGTGTTCCACTATAACCCCCCCTAAAACTTTACTAACAGTTTTCTTTATTTATTTTTCATTTTTTACAGGAAATATGAAGAAAAAACAAACAAAAATAACTTCGTTTTTTTTTTTTAGCAACAACGTAGCGTATCTTCTACGTTTTTGATCCACTTTTAAATGATCAGTTGCTTTCTTTTTCTCCTGGATCGGCGTACCTCAGGTAAAATCGTTGCAGGCGCTGTTAGATCAAACGTATTGAAAATCACCTTCATCGGCATTTTTTTCCGCGGGACCGCTGTCAACCACGTCTGAAAAACGTCGTCTGATCTGGTGATTTTTCGTGAATTTTTCGCCTTTCACCAAGTACATCATATTGCCAATCCGCTTTTTTATTTTTTGGTACCTCCATAGTGTTACCAGAAACAACCTTCCGCTTTGAGCTTCTTAAGGATGGAGTCACAGTTTCTGTAGGTTCTTCTTGTGGTTCTATTTGTTCAGCCTCTAGCTTCCCTTTTGTTGATCTTGTGATTCTTAACGTTTTCTGTGGTGACTTCAGTTGACTTAAATCATTTAATAATACTGCATGTCCTTGGCTGCGGGTAACTCGCTCCCCGGTTTTCTTTAATCTGTCCAATTCTTTATCTATCTGTTCAATTGAAGCAAACAGCACATTCCTTTTCTTTTTGAATACCGCCTGAGCGTTTTTTTTGGCTGAATTTTGCCTCCATCTTGGAATTTTCCTTAACCTTTCAGTAGAAAGTTCTTTAGTTTTTTACTAATTTTTGGGCTTCTGTTTTTAAACTTTCAACCTTGTAACAGAAAGAATTTATCGGTAGATCCCATAATTGAAATTCTGCTATCCAATTCGTACCAAGTAAGTTCGTGGTATTTTCTATGACAAATAGTTTAGCTTTTTGCGTTTTTTTATTTAACGTGACGTTTGTAACAAATTCTCTAATAAATTGAATTTTTTCTCCCGTCACTGACCTCGCGATTTTATTTGTCTTCATTAAAGTTGGTTTCCCAACTTTCCACGTATGCAAATTTATGATAGATAGGTCGGAACCAGTGTCGAGTTGCATTTTATTTTTTATTACTTATTTCGACGGTAACAAATTTTCTGGTTATTCCATCGTTCACCTCGTCGGACTTTAATTTTCTTATTTTATTGTCTTTATTTTTTGACCTGCAGTGCGAGCTTTTATGACCCACTCTTTTACAGTTGAAACATTTTTATTCCTAAAATTGCAATATCTGTACCAGTGAAGTTCACCGCAAACAAAACATGGCTTCAGGGAGTTTTTGTTTATTTTTCTCTGGTATTTTTCTTTTTTGTTTGATAATCCGCAATTTTAGAATTCTTTTTTGGTAGACTGACTTTCTTTTTTGTAGCGTATTTTTTCTTTACATGCGAAACGCCAGACTGTTCTATCTTTTTTCGAATCTTTCTTTATGCTAACATATCTTGTGCAGTCTTCTGCCAACTTCTGTATCGTAATCCTTGGTTCGTTTTCCAATTTTGACAGCACTAATTTTCTCAACTCTGCGTCTCTTTCCAATACCAGCCCTTGAACAAACACTAAACACTTAAAATTGTCAGCGCTTAACTCTGCCAGCTCGAATTCTTCACAATGCTTGTTTACATTGGCTGCGTACGTTATATAGTCTTGTTCGTCATCTTTCATCAGATTCAAACATTTCCACCTCTTGTGAAACAAAGATGTCTTTTTACTAAATAATTCACTTAATATATTTACCGACTCGGTAAATGTCAACTCGCTAGTTTTTTTCGGTAAAATGTAGTTTACCAATTTGTTATGCTCAGCAGTTACTAATTTGCTTAAAAGAAGCCTAACCTTCTTTCCTTCAGATCACGAGTGGCAGTCCTCGTTATACACGTCCGTATATTTTTTATAATACTCTTCAAAAGTTATCTCTTCATCTGGACTGTACGTGAATATTTCAATTGAATTCCATATTGTATTCTCTGGGAAAGAATCATTTTGTAGATTTTTCTCTTTCCTCTTCTCAGTTATTTCCAGAATTTTGTTTTCAAACTATTTATGCATCTGTTCCATTTCTCGTTGAAACTGCATTTGTCTATTAAAAGTTTCCTCCTGTAGTTGCATCTGGAATGTCTTCCGTTGCTCTAATATTGTCATCTGTTGTTCCGTCTGGAACTTAAAAAATTCCTGGAATATATTTTTGCATTTCTCCATCTTCGCAAAAAGTTTACACAATGCTTAAATATTGTAGAGGGGGTCCAACGAATTTGTAATTCGTGACCTATTTGAGCAAACTGTCTTATCGAGAAAAAAAATCTTTTCTCAGTTGAGAATACGACTGATTTTTTTCGTCACTAAGTTGACATCATGTCTTTCGAAAAACTTTGGCAAGTTCTTTTTTTTTTTTTTTTTTAAGTGTAAATCCGAGATTTTGTCGCCGAAATTGTGACGAGCAAGTTTTTTCTTTTTCCTCCGTATGAGTACGAATTTCGTCATCAAATAATGTTGTGGTGAGCGATTTTTTTTCCTCTTCCACCGTGTGAATTCGAATCCCTCGTAGCCAAATTTGTTATGGCGGGTGAATATTTTTTTTTCCGTATGAGTACGAATTCCTAGTCGCCAAATTTTTTATGTGGCGAACGAATTTTTTTTTTTTCCTCTGTATGAGTTCGAATCCTCGTTGCCAGATTTGTTGTGGAGTGGTTTCACAGTGGAGGCTTGTATTTGTACTAAGTCGGTCCTAAAATAGGTTCGACGTACAAAACGTTGGGAACTTCATGTAATAGGTATGACGCAGAGTAATCTAGTTGTGGTCGCTGATACTTTAGTATCTGACTAACGGTCGTCCGGCATCGACTGACTGAGCGACACACTGAGCGACTCCTCGTTACTATTACTACTCCTACTTATTATAGGTGGGAGAGTCTATTAACTATAGAATAGGTGTGTTCCACTATAACACCAAGCAAGGCTTTGGTTGACTGATTTTGTCTAGCGGCATATCAATATTTATGGGTTATTTAATGCCAAAATCTATGTACTTTGAACACTGTCTTGTCTTGATATAGTTCAAAGGCGTCTCTGAGCCCTTGTGGGTGACAAATTATTTTCCACCGTCCAACCTCTCTCTCTCTCAGGTGATATGTGGCAAACCTCTCACTGTTCTACCGCTACTTCCATGGAAAGTGCTCGGACGAACTACATTCCATCAGTTCTAAACTTCACAGCTAGAACCCGCCATGTCACTTACATTGTAGCAAACCACCCGCATTCCCTCCGTATTCCATCGGTGAGAAGTTTTTCTCAAACAGCATCTTTCCGCGAACCACTTCTCTGTGGAACCGACTCCCAAGAGGATGTTTCCCCGATCACTACAATTTTAACCTGTTCAAGACAAGGGTTCAAGACTTAGTACAAATACAAATCTTCCCCGCTTATCCGTATAAACTGCCTGTTATCATAACCCTCTACTTTAAGTGGCCCAGGGCCTTGTACAGGGTGAACCTTAATGTAAATAAAAAAAATTACATGCTTTCAACTACAGATGAAATGTATTGTTGGTAATTTTTATCATAAATATATATTGAGATTAATCATAGAAAATTGTTATTATTTAATTTAAAAAAATGTTTTTGACAATGTATGTCATCTCTTCAATTTTACTATAAAATGTATTGATTGTCATTTTGCTATAAGATTTATTGTTGGTAATTCTGCTATAAAATGTATTATTGGTTATTTTATTATAAAATGTATTACTGGTCATTTTACTATAAAAATGTATTATTAGTAATTTTACTATTGCATTGTTGGTAATTTTTTTTAATAAAAATGTATTGCTGGAGTTTTTACTATAAAAATGTATTTTTATACTTTCATGGTGTTCTGTTTTTCTTTGGGGGTCATTATTTGCCCACAGTTAGGATCCTAAAATGTGCTACCATCAGGCCAACCAATGCTAGAGAGCCCAGTCTGCTCTGTTATTTTACTTATAACTGAAGTGGGGGATATGGATTTTTGCTCTCCCAAAGGTTATAGCGCAAAGTTTTATAAAAAAAAAAAAAAAGAGCAAAACTCCCCGGCAAATACGGATTCCCAGTTTTGGTAAGGTATAAGAACAAGGTTGGATCAAAGAAAGAAGATCAACTGATCGCCACCGTCCATAAATTTTACATTCAATCATCCAAGTGCAATGAAACATTTGCATGTGATGACATAGGAATTTTGTAATTGGTGAAATGAAAAGGTTTGAGACGAAACACGCAGTGAGGAACAAGAACGAATGAACAACCCAAACATCTCATGTATTGTGTATGGAAGAACGTACCTTTGAAAGACTGAATTTTGAAACCATCAAAAAAAACATTCTAGACCTCTGCTTATCAGCAAGGATCAACAATGACGATCCTTGGAGTATCTCATCCAGGTAGATTAAACTCACAACTTTAAAGAAAGTAGATGAGTTTTACCAATGCATCAGTGTCGTTAA